TTTTTTCCTCCCAGCTGGGAACGACGTGTCCTGGCACAACGACCAGGTGGTTTCGCCCAACATGCAGCAGCTCGTGGACACGGGCGTCCAGCTGGAGCAGAGTTACGTGCAGCCTCTGTGCACGCCGTCCCGCTCCGCCTTCCTGACGGGGCTCTACCCCTTCCGGCTCGGGCGCCAGGTGAACCTCGCTTAAGTTGCCTTTTCTTTTTCTGATTAATTTACCTCTTATCTGTCTATTCTTATATATCAGGATCCCACTGAATAATGGAAGATATAAATTTCGGTTTCTAGGGGCGACCTTTAGGCAGCCATACACCCACTGGTCTCGCGGTCCACCACACGCTGCTGCCGGAGCGCCTCTCGCGCCTCGGCTACTCCACGCACATGATCGGAAGTGAGTTGAGGTCGAAATCTGATCTCGTTTTTGGCCAGTTCCACGGAGAGTAGAAAAATAGGTGCTTTCTTACAGCCTTTCTTTCCATTTAGATAGATGAATAACCATGATAATCCTTATAACTATTGTCATATATTCCGCAACAGGACAACAGTTCCAACAAACACGTTCTATCTTTTGTTAAGAATCTTATCTATAATCATTCAGACAAAGACATACGCAACAGGATTTTCATGTCTATTTATGCTCAATATTCCTCTTCGATCTTCTGCGTCACTCTAGCTGCTGTATCATTTCTCTTGCTCTACTCTCTGCCTCTGCCCCTTCCCCCCCCTCCCGCAGGTGGCACCTCGGCTTCTGCGACTGGGCCTACACGCCGCTCGAACGGGGCTTCGACACCTTCTATGGCTACTATGGAGGCTTCGAATTCCACTTCATCACACTGTCACCAGTAAGAATAATTCTGAAGCGGACTAATTTGGTAGTGTTCAAGATGTACTTGTGTCCGTTTACGGGCGCTGCACACACACACACACACACACACACACGCACGCACACACACACACACACACACACACACACACACACACACACACACACACATACACACACACACACATTCTTTGAAAACCAAAGATAAAGAAGTGATCAAAATAATCAGCGTGCATACAGACTCAATGGTTTATAAGCAATGTTACCAGATTCTGAGCAACTGCTTCCCTCCGCAGACGGCTATGACTTCCGCGACCAGAGAGAACCGGACTTCACGGGCGGGACATATGCCACAGTAATTTATCTCCCTTTCGTTAAATTCCAATTTCCAAATTGCTAATAACCTCTTGGTATAAAGTTATAATACTAGTAAATAAGGAAAACAAAAACAAACGGCGTACTGTCGCTAATTCAAATGAGTTGGTGGCAACAGCAAAAAGAGAATCCAAATTCCCTCTTGACAGCACCTGTTCGGAGACCGCGCCGTCAGGATCATCGAGGAACACCAAGGCAGCGACCAGCCCTTCTTCCTCTACTTGGCTCTCCAGAACGTCCACAAGCCTCTTGAGGTGAGGGCCTAGGAAGGGAGAGACAGAAAGGGAGAGTGAGATGTAAAGGGGGAATGAGAGAGAAAGGATGGAAGAGAGGGAGTGAAGGAGCAAGGAAAAGAGGAAGGATGGGAGGAGAGGGAGGGAGGGAAGGGGAGCGAGAGTGGAAGGAAAATGAGAGGGAGAGGGAGAAGGAGCAGGAAATTGGCAAAGCTTATAATGATGATAATGTTGATAATGAAGATGAATGAAAAAAATATTACTTGAACGACAGTAAATAACTGCACCAAGAATAATAACGAAAAGAATGAAGGTTGCTATGGTGATAATAACAATAGGAGTTATCATGACAATAAAATCACTAAAATCATAATAATGAAAACAGCAGTTATTTACGTATCGCAAGTATTTACATTCTTTGAGATCCACTTCAACCACAGTAGGCCATAAACGTCACTCCCAGTGTTCTTGACTACCTCCCGCCCCATGTATCTGTCCAAGGTTCCCGACGAGTACCTGGCGCACTACCCGGAGGACCTCGACGAAGACCGGCGACTGCTGCTGGGGATGGTGACGGCGCTGGACGAGGCGGTGGGGCGGGTTGTGCAGGCTCTCAAGGACACGGGGCTCTACGACAACACGGTCATCGTCTTCTCGTCGGATAACGGCGGCGTCGGCATGAATGGGGGTACGCGAAAATTTTGCGAATTTAAGGTTGAAGTAAATGATGATGAGTGGACGTCTGAGACAGATGGAAATACATGTTCAATAGAATCAAGACTCCATTAAATGTTACTCTATTCCTAATTTACATTTTGAGGTCAACAGCGTTTGTATCGCTTATAAGTTTATTATATTTCTATGAATTGTCAGAAGTAAGAAGATACTATGCGAATTGTTATGCGAATGTAAACATACATAAACAAAGAAATGTTACACACACAGACACAGCATACATAATCAATGTTATTTTGAAATATTAAGCATATCCATTCCCGCCAGAGAGCAACCGGCCTTTGCGAGGCAACAAGAGCTCAGTGTGGGAGGGCGGCACCCGCGCCGTAGGATTCGTCCACAGTCCCCTCCTGCAAGAGACTCCACGAGTGCACTCTGGCCTCCTGCACATCACCGACTGGTACAACACCCTCCTGGCTCTCGCAGGGGAGTCCTTCCTGCCTGACAACGACGGCTTCAACCAGTGGGACTCCCTGGTGGATCCTTCTGTCGAGTCACCCCGAATCATGTTCTTCTACAACCTCGATTATGACCCTGAAAAAGGAATGCTCGGCGCCCTTAGGTGATGCTCCTTCCTTTCTGCCAGACTAGCCATTGTCTTTCTCTTTCTTTATCATTTCATATAAGATACATTGTATACGAGTGGTACTATATAAACATTTTATTTTTGCTCAGACTGAACGATTATAAGTTTGTCGTGGGCGAAGAGAGGGATTTAGATCCCGGAGAAGAACCTGGACTCTGGCTGTTCAACCTGACAGGTAAGATTAATTATCTAATCGCTCTGTGTATGCTATTTCTTTCTCTTATCTATCAATCTATCTATCTATACTCTCTCTCTCTCTCTCTCTCTCTCTCTCTCTCTCTCTCTCTCTCTCTGTGTGTGTGTGTGCTTAAAAACGAGTAGCTTTGCATTCATGTCTCCGCGCGTACCTTAATCCTGCCGCTCCTCTCGCCTCAGTGGATCCGAACGAAATCATAAACATGGTCGAGGTGCAGCCTGCCTTGGCCATGGCCATGGAGATGCTCATGCTGGAGGAGCTTCCCAACGTGGTTCCCCGAGACGAGCCAGACAACGACCCGGCGGGCGACCCCTCCAACTGGGGCGGCGTCTGGAGTCCAGGCTGGTGCGACGTCCCCTGAAGGAGGCGGGGCGTGGCAGCTGTATGGGCGTAGGAGGAAGGCGAACACAGCCTATACTTACTATTGGTGAACTAAGAATTTGGATTTTGATGGAGTGTTCGCAGACGAAATTTAAATAAATAGTTGATATCCTGACCTGCTTATTATTCTGATGCATTTCTCATATTAATTAATAAATGTCAGTTGATATTAATCATTCGAAATATATGTTAAGATAGGGGATCGTATACAAATACATGCAATGGGATACACATGCTTTGATTATTTGCCATCTATTGCACAATATGAGGATGGTGACATATTCAATTTAGTTATTTCCTGTGTAACATCAATATGTAGATCATATTTTATCATATGTATCATTAGAACACGACCTATCTCTTCATAATTAATTTTTCAAAAATGGTTGTAGAATTTTCATTGGAAACGTAAAATTCATTTCATTAATTCTTACAATAAAATTCTGGACATGTGAAGAAAAAAAAATCAGCTCTCCTTTCAGATAACCTCCATGAAAGTTTTCATGTCACAAGAAGAAAAAATCCTTCTGGTACTCATAGTTCCACCCCCCCCCCCCAAAAAAAAAAATGCACCGTCGACTCCAAAACATTGGCATAACATAAAATTAAATGGTGTTTAAAAAATGTGAAAGGATGTAATCTGTCTTTCTCTTGATCTTAAAATATATGTAATTCGACTCTTCTGTTGAGTAACTGAACTGTAACCTAAACCACATAAACAGTTAGCCCAATAACTGTCAGTCAATCTTAGCAAACATTGTATTTGGTCTGCCATTGCCAACCTCGGGCTAACTAACAACAGGCCAGGACACTTCATGGTGAAAATGTTTCCTGCGTTTGTGCAATAACACAAAATATTATCATCGTAACATAGTGATGTTGATATAATATTGTGTTTAATCACTGACTAGAAAAAATACATACATGAAAATAAGTAGATAGACAGATTTAATGATAAATGGATAGATAAATAGATAAATCGACAGATAGACAGACAACAGGCAGACAGACAACAGACAGACAGACAACAGACAGACAGACAACAGACAGACAGACAACTGACAGACAGACAACAGACAGACAGACAACAGATAGACTGACAGACAGACACCAGGCAGACAGAGAGACAACAGACAGACAGGCAGATAGAGATAGACTGACAGATAAACTGATTGACTGGTTGATTAATTTACTGAATAAGTGATTGACAGATACATGTACAGAAGATATATGTATACATAGGTAGATAGCTTCAATGGAAATTACTCTATATGCAGTCTCATTGTGTTATTTCCATACATAAGAGGCGGGAACTATAAATAACATAAATTTCTGTGTCTGAATCTCAACTTTTCACAACATAATTTTATAGTTACGTGTGTCAATGACAACTACCGATTGGTATAACTGATTCTATCTTGATATACATGTCATCTCGCAGCACAGAACTCAAACTTTAGTATAATAAAAACATGTCTCATCTGCGTGATTCCTCGTGAGTTTATGCATGGTGGACCGTCTGTGAGCGTTGCCTCCATGGTTCACTTTTCACTGCCTTTGGTCGCCTTCTTAGTATTTATATAAGCACATAAATATAGATGTGTCTATATAAGAATGTTTATATATTTATATTTGGTAATTTTCTATATTACCTTCGCCTCGCCGATATCGACGATTTTGGTATCGTTGGATTCCTCTCACTGTCCACATTCCAAATATGTAGGTTTTATTGCGCGGAAACCCCCGTTAGCGAGAAACTTGGCCCCGATTGCAAGGGAGGGCATGGAAGGTTCTAGAGAAAGACACGATTGTAGTATAATCAGGATGAACAGAGTATACCATGAACAGAAGAGCGCCCTCGTCAGCGGGTTTTGCGCCTCTCTCGATGTTACGCCGATGGCCTCATGGTCGAGTTTCCCGTCCCCTGGAACCATGATTTTCGAAATCCTAACCGAAATAACCGTCGCATTCAGTACTTCTCCATGGCCGCCGCGATGACAGTGTGTGAAGAATGCTCCTACTCCGAGAGATTTTCTGCGCAAGGTAGCAACAAGCCAGGATGAGATGCTTGAAATGTGCTTCCGCCACGGCCTCCTCCGTCGGGAGAGAGCCTGCGGCAGGTGCGGCCAGCCAGCACGCCTGGACATGAAGCAGAAAAGGTTCAGTGTGATAGGTCCGTGGCGGTCAGGAAGCAGAAGAGGCAGAGGTGTGACTGGTCCGCTTCGATGTTCGTGGGCTTTCTTTGAGCAATCTCGCCTCGATGTTGAGACCCTGCTGATCTTCGTGATCTTCTTCGTCCGGGAGAGGTTCACGTTCCGGCTCATGCGGCACGAGCTGGGAGTGAGCTCAGCGACCTTCACCGACTGGTCGAGTTTCTGCCGGGAGGTGATGGTTCACTGGGCTCTTGATCGGCAGGGTATGATCGACGGCCAAGGAAAGATCGTCGAGATAGACGAGAGCAAGTTCGGGCGCCGCAAGTACAACGTGGGCCGAGTGATTGACGGGTAGTGGGTCTTCGGCGGCATCTGCAGGGAGACGCGCGATCTCTTCTCGTCTCGGTGGAGGATCGGACCTTGCAGTTATTAAGGAACGGATCGCCCCGGGTCGATCATCCTCTCCGATTGCTGGAAGGCCTACAACTGCCTCTCTGACGAGGGGTTCGAGCACCTGACCGTCAACCACTCGTACCACTTTGTAGATCCGGACACGCAAGCTCATACGAACACGATCGAGCGGCAGTGGAGGGAGGCTAAGAGGAAGGTACCACTCTGTGGCCACAGGAAGAAGCACTTCGCAGGGTACCTGGCTCGGTGCATGTTCCTCATGCACTACCAGGACCTCAATGTGAGGTTGCACCACTTCCTGTGTGCTGCAGCGTCGCTGTATCCTTCGGCCTAGGACCTGCCGGACGCACCCCGCCTCCTTCAATTTCTGCGTGAAGGGAGCACCCTCTCTACTATCGGCGGCATTTATCAATCAGGTTAGTACCTTAAAAATCCTAGGTTATTGTAGGTTATCGGCTCCGCGTTTAGTTCGTGTGCGCTCTATCCTGCCGTGAATACGTGGTGGAGATTTTGTTTCCTCGGCGGGGTTGGGGGGTGGCTGCACATGGAAAGTCATGTGAGTAACCATGGTTATTTTCGCTGTGGATTATATTATTAGGGTAATTTTCTATATTAACTCCGACACGATATAGTTTGCCGCTAACGAGCTACGCTCGGTAACGCGCGATATAAACGCGCGCGCCAAGACATCATTATTTTTAACGCCGGCGAACGACATCATATAGGGCCCAATATCCGCTAACGGTGGGTTTCCGCGCAATAAAACCTACACATTTGGATTGTGCAGAGTGAGAGGAATCCAACGATACCAAAATCGTCGATATCGGAGAGGCGGAGGTAATATAGAAAATTATGTTTATATATTTATATTTATATTAGTACAATTCCTACATAAGAAAACTGCAATAACTTTAACTTTAACTCCTGCGTCTCCTCAGTCAGTCGCTCGCATCCCCTGCTTTTATCCCTCGGGGTGAAGGTACCTGTGGGAGGCACTGATCTCCCCACAAAGAATGTATATTGCAGGCTGGGTATTAAGGAAGGTTGATTTGTAAAAGAAATAAATAATATATGTTCATTGCATTGCATAGAAACAATCACAGAACAGTTACTACCTATAAATGTGCAGAACACAGTGAGTTGGAAAAGTTTTACATGGATTTATGATGAATTTCCTAAAGCCCGAAAGTTTGTTGGACAATTCTGTACAAATACAAGTATACAAGGGCCACAATATATATTTACTTTAGAAGGGATTTATGTTGTTCTGTTTACCAGTGTGGTTGAATTTTTGATGTAGCACCCAGTACTCTCTAAATATTCTGTTTATATTCTGCTTTGTCTCATCTGGCAGTACTGTTACACAGCGTCCAGAAAAGTACTCAACTTTCCTCCGACCAATGAAAGAAAAATGGAAACCTTCCTCTAAAAAACAATGAAAGAAAGGCGTGGTTCGGGTGTCAAAAATTCATTTCTTCTGTTTTCAACTACCTTTTGCATGGTCATTGATTGTGCAACCGCCACCTTTTATGGGCTCTGCTGTGAGCACTACACATTTTTCTTTATATAAGAAACCCAGTTATAAGAAACCCAGTATGCAGCTCCTGAAAAAAAAAAGAAACTTGAGTGCTGGAAAAAGAAATTATCTTAAAAACTCCTAGTTAGGCTTTCTTGTAATATATATATATATATATATATATATATATATATATATATATATATATATATATATATATATATATATTTTTTTTTTTTTTTTTTTTTTTTTTTTTTTTTCTTTTCTTTTCTTTTTTCTTTCTTCTTTCTTTTTTTCTTTTTTCTTTCTTTTCTTTCTTTCTTTCTTTTTTCTTTTTTCTTTCGTTTTCTTTCTTTCTTTCTTTCTTTTTTCCTTTTTTTACGAAGTAACTTTCTTTACAAGAAGTCAATACATCAATTATTAATTTCTCTTCGTTGAGAGCCAAAAAGTAATCATTTTTTCCTTAACCTATTACCGTAAATGTAAGACTTATCGAGCAGGAAAACGAGAGAAATCTTTAAGAAACTGGTAAGGAACTTTCAGCACTCCAAAGTGAGAATTATTAAGAAACTTTCAGTACTTGCCCGAGTTGCTAGTGTACTTTCCTTTTACTACAACGTTAAAAAATAATATCTAATATTATACTAAATCTTTGGTATAAGGCAGGCCCTTACAAGTGTTATACCTTTTTTAAATAAACTAAATATTATAGTTTCAATTAGCACAAACCTTTATTTGGTCTATTGTATGCAGCCTGGCAAAATTGATAGCTTTTAAACATTTTGATAAATATGTAATATGTATCACGATTTGTAGAGATTTCCATGTAGACTATCATTTAAGCTTTTGCGACCTTTTGGGTGCAATTTTGAAATCCATTTTTAACTTTATCTGTTTATCCAAATCCAATTTTGCTCAAGTAGGCCTACATTTCTATTTAAGGCCTCAATACCCCCTTTCCTTTATTAACACAGCTGCCTAAGAGTTTGCCCAACATGAAGCGATTTAATAGAGTGATTAAATCGCTGTCCGCAG